CACAAGGGCAGGTCCCTTAGGAAACGACCTTCCCAGAAAGGATGGAGCCAGGAAGGGAATGAGCGTGTTGAAATCCACAAATAAGGCATGGATCTCATTTTGGTCAGTGATCCGTCTGTCCATCCTTGAAAGCCCCTCATTGTTAGATATGCTGAAAAGGCAAATACATTTCTGGTCTAACGAAATGAGAAAAATCCAAGGAGAAACGGTCTCGTCCCCTCTCCATCTTTCAGTCCTTGACCCTGGGGCCAGGCTCCTTAGAGGCACCCGATGAGCAGGAGGAGGAGACAAGCCCAAAGTAAGGCTCAGGCCTTTCTCTCCCTTGTCATCGTGTGTGCCGTGTTCTGGCCCCACCATGGGCAGGGGTGGAGGAAAGCACACAATGATAGGCTCATTAAGTTTAGAGCAGAAAGGGGCCTCAAGGGATGATCTGGAGCAGCAGAATCCATCTGCTATAACCCCCTTGTTAGAGGGGGCCGGGTTGGGGAGCCATCCAGACCTTGTACTTCCCATGACGGGCTTCTGGGGCCCGAAACTGAGGCAGCCCCAGGCCAGGTATTGGGGGGAGGTGTGTGGGGAAGCACAGCCCAGTGCAGCAGACTGCCCCTGGGTTCAGATCCCAGGTCCACCCTGTACTAGCTGTGTGAAGCCAGGCGAGTCAGTGCAAATGGAGATGAGGGAAGCACCTGCCGCGCATGGCTGCCGTGAAGAGGAGGAAGTTTGCAGGTGAATGTAGGTATTATTACTGTCCTAGAAGGCAGCCCCAGGGCGTGGGCTGTGTGGGCTCATGTTCTCATTTCCGGAAGTGTGTGGCACTCCCCTGTCTCTCTAAGGAAGAGTTCTAAGAGGAGCCACAGTACATAGGCTTCACAGGCAGCTTTCTTGGTTTGGAGCTAGAATCAGGTTAGTCTGTGGTAACTATTCCCCAAGCAGAAGGTGGGCACAGGGACCCATCCAGCCAGGGGAACTGCCTGCAAGTAAATTACATTCAATTTCCTGTTCCCCTTCCCTTACTCCTTGTCCTCAACTGTCCATCCCTCTCTCTCTGTCCTCCCACACCTATCCATTCTTCCCTCTCCCCAACACCTGGCCTGGGGCTGCCTCAGTTTTGAGCCCCAGAAGCCCGTCATGGGAAGTACAAGGTCTGGATGGCGCCTCAACCCGGCCGCCCCTAACAAGGCGGTTATAGCAGATGGATTCCTTTCTGTGGCCGATTATTTTCCATGGCCCTTGGCCATGTGACCTCAGACCATGATCTTGTCAGTTTTCATCAACTAACCAGGAGAAGGCTGAGTCATAGGCAGAGAGGCAATCTCTGGGGGAAACAGTAGGGGCTGTGGGAGGAAGGAGAGCAAGCTGGGATCCCAAAGGCCATGGGAGCCTTAGCCCTCTGCCCGCCCACCTCTGAGCAGCTTCGAGCTTACATGAAGGGGAGGAGGGGAAGGCAGTCACCTCAGGAGGCAGGCTGGGCTGCAGGAGGGCTCCTCTTTTGAACAAGATCTGGCATGTCAGCCCACGAAGCTAACTGACCCCAAGACCTCCAACTCAGAGAGATACTGCCTGCCTTGGATGCTAATCAAATCTCTGGGCTACTGACACCCAAGTCCCTAATCTCAGGAGCATCCCCTACATCAAATAGATAAACTAGAGAGTGGCTGACACTCACACATGCACACATCTCCCTACACCTACTGTTGGCTCTGGGTGTCCTGCGAAGGGTGAGGAGAGAAATATTGATGAGAACGTTGGAGTAAGATTCCGTGGGTTTCAATGCCGTACTGGTGGTGAGGATGTTCTGGCGATGCTACGTGAAGTGTTTACATTATGCCAAACACATAGATTCATTCTGAAAATGGCGTACCATGAAATCTTCACACGCTCCAAAGTCCTGAAACTGGGTGTTGCATACACAAAACCCCATGGTTCACCACCTAAATTTTTTTTTTCGTTTAAAATATCTTTGAATTTCCAAGTTTTGTGTCTCTGTAGCTTTCGGTTATGCATTACCTTGAGTTCTCAGACAAGTTACTGTATTGTTAGAGAGGTTATTTCTGAGTAAAATATGCACATATAAACAAATCCTTTAACTATGTGTGTGTTTTAATGACTTTCTGGGCATCCATCTGATGAAATCTTAGGGACAACAGATACATGTGTGTGTGTCCATGAATAAAGCATATATCTTTATGCAAACACAAAAACACGGGGCGAAGCAGGCTATTTTAAGAGTCTGAACTCCATCTTTCAACAAAGTTTAGCTGCTTTCCTTTTGCAAATGCATTTAATTTTATCTGGAAACTTTTTGACGTTAGAAATAGAACAACTGTAGCTTCTCATTATGTTTGCTGCCAGAATCCATGCTTGGTTGCTCCACTAAAGACCTTATATTGCTAATTACTACCACATGCCCATATCCCAAGCGAAAGAAAACTTATTGATTCTGACAGCCCATCCTCTCAACACTGAATTCCAAATGAAAACTCAAATTTTGGCCAAACATAACATTTCATCAATCTTGTTCCACTGACTGGAAAAACAACATCAAACAAAGGGTGCTAATGGCCCTTTATTACCGTTCCTTTCCCAAGCTTATATTTTCTGATGAAAGATCTAAGTGACCAAAGGGCTTCTTTAAACTACTTGGTAATTAGCTTTTGAACCAGGAAACAATGCGTAAAGTAAAGTGAGCAGTCCCAGTGCTGATGACAGAACCTACTTTCTGTCCACAGGGTCCGGGGACATCGGAGAACCCAAAGTGAACATTAAAAGCAAAGTGTGCATTTTCATAAAAGGAGAAGAAAGAGAGAGAGAGAGAAGCAGGCTAAAAGCGGTGATAAAAGATGACGGGGATGCAGCCAGAACAAAAGCTGCCGGATGTCTGTGATCTGAAGCCATTGGCACGCGGGGTTGGGAGGGGAAGACAAGGCAAAGGGAGGACTGGATGGGCCGGAGCAGGGCAGCGACCATGGGTCTCAGGGTCTCAGCTGGGTCACCCATCCACAAAAGCGTCCAGTCCTACCCACACTGGGCTACGGAAGCTATTTGCGGGGGGGGGGGGGGATGTACCTCGAGTGAGAGTCAAGAAATGTTTTCAACATAGACTTCAGGGCAATTGGTTTTACTGAGTTCTCCGGGCGCAGCGAGTGATGGGGAAGCGCCAGCGGAGACAGTGGGGTGGGGCGGCCGTAAAGGGGGCCCGAGCCCCTCGCACGCCTTCTGCTTTATGGCGACCTGTCCGCACCTTCAGGGCAAAACGAACAGAGAAGCTGTTTTCCTCTTGGCAGGGAATAAATGACCAATGGAAATCTCTGGGCTTATTTGGCCTTTTGGATCCAACCAACGGCCCCGAAATGGGAACAGCTTGGTCCTTATCTCATCCAGGGCTGTTAGCGTAATAGAAAGAGGAGGACTCCATCAGAGGGGAGGGGGCTGTGCTGCCTCCATGGAAAAGATGCCAACTGGCCTCCTCTCGCCCACTGTCCTCCGCGCCTTTGCGAGGAAACGGGCATCCTGTGGGTAGTTCAAGAAAATGAGTCCTTTTCCCCACCTCCTCATTTTCTGAACAGAGGACTGGACACCTGAGCTCGGGATGCCATGGGATCACTGACGGGAGAGGAGGTTGGCTCCATCCAACGTGACCGTCAGGCAAGGAGGAGGCGATGGGGGGAAATGCGATGCTACTGCTCTTATTTTTCTCTTTAAAAACAAAATAGGCTTATTCAAGAGTTCATTTAAAAATGTATGAGAACAAAACAAAACAAAACAAACCCCTAGTTCCGTGATAGGAACTTCTGTGAGTGGGAGGAGTATGGTGATGAAAAGATTCTGCATCTTGATCTGGGGGGCAGTTACTGGGTGTGAACATAGGTGCAGAATCTCTGAGCTGTACATTCAAGATGTGGACATCCTACTGTGCGAAAGTTAAAACAAAAATAAAAACTCGAAAGCAAACAAAGCTGAGTGCCCAAGAAAAAGCTTCAGGAAAAAAAAAGTACAGAATGGTTGCCTCCAGCCCTGCCTCCCTTCGAAGATTCTCCTCTCGAGATGGTGCTCTGGCAGAGGACAGAGCGGTCAGGCCCTGCGTCTACTTAGGAGCAAAACTTCCGGTTGACAGTGGACCCATTACATTGACAGTGATGTTGACAAAATGATCTGAGCACACACTGCAACAGTCCCCAGGAGAAAGCATCCGTGTATGGGAAACCAAGCAAAAGACCCACCAGGAACGGCGTGCTCTGCTCTGACATACCACAAATACACTATTTCTTGCCCAGGAGGGAGTTCAACTGACTAATGAGTCCCTTTGGGGACAAGTCCAGCGCCTTGTGGCAGAAGAAAACAGATTGCCTGGTGGCCCCAAAACCAAGGCGACCTTGACCTTGCTCTCCCTAGGACTTCCCTGCTGGAGTGTGAGCCCATGTCACTGCTGCACAAACTCCCCTAGGATGGCCTCACTTTAGTCTGAGAAACCAGAATGTCATCACTTATCTAGTTGGTATAAAGAATAAGTGAGCTTGGTTGACCTGTTGAGGATCAGAACAGAAAACATGGGCCCAGTTATCTACGGACCTCTTCCAGGGTAAATTCATTACGCCTCTTGGAAAGATGGCTAGGGAAGAAAGTTGTGAATGGGAACTGGCCTCAGCAGTGGGGTCGACATGTGATCACTTCCTGGGGTAATTCTGACATCACACCCCACACAGAGTGAGGCCCTTCGGGTGGGGTGGGAGAGGGGCAGGATTCAGGTGTCACCGCCACAGGGGCTCTTGAAAGTCACTCAACCACATCCTTTCTGATGCAACTGACTTACTTTCTGCCTCCATGTTTGTTAAAAGTCCCGCCGAATTTATTCCGATTCAGGATGAGAGCGGCAATTTCGGGTACGTAGCGGGCAAACATTGCCTACATGCATGAAACAAAGAAACAAGAGCCAAAAAAAAAATGGCATGCAGAGAGGATTCTACCACAGTGGAGGCAGCAAAACCTCTTGGCATACTTACTTTCTTCCACTAACCGCACTATAGGAGCCCCCGTATTTCTTGCGGTTTCCTATTAACTCTATGATTTCAGGGACGTAGCTGGCAAACATGGCCTGAGGAGAAGATAGGAGACAGAAGAGAGACTAAAAAGACAGGCCAAAGAAAGGGGGTGACCTTTTCAGAGGGGGGTGGGTACTAAGATCTGAAAACACAAAAGGATTAGAACTGCAAAGGTACATATTAATATGTTCAATAGTAAAAAAAAAAAAAAAAAAGATAAAATAAAACCACAAAAGGGGCAAGCTCCTGAAACACAGGACAAAACCAGCGTGAGCCAACCTAGACAACTCAAAAAAGAGTCACAGTCGAGAAAAGTATAAAGGAGACAGGAATAAACAAGGTGACACCTAGCTCTTCTTCCTGAAGAGAAATCAGGGTGTGCATGCTGGGGAAATCACACACGCACACACAAATACACACACACACACACACAATTTCAAGAGAAGACTTTTCTTTCTAATTAAAATTCAAATAAGCATCCATGCCTTTATGAGCAATTAAGGACAATAAAGACCAAAAGAAGATGTAAAAATATATAAATTTTCTATTTAAAAAAATTACTACAAAGCCCAAAAGGTAAATTTAGGAGATCACATGGGAGGAAAGGATAGCCAGGAGAAACAAGTCTGCCATGTTTTGTCCAACAAACATTGTGCTTGTGGCTGGATACGAGGGTCTCGTTATTTGCAGGGACCTCACGGATGCTGTGGGAACACTGTGTTAATGTACACACGCACGCATCCATTTATATACATTTTTCAAATGTATACGCCACATGCATACCAAACAGAGAGACATGTATGCATTCAATAAATGCGTGTGTGGTGTACATATGGGAAAGTTGTGTGCGGAAAAGGATCTTAATCGCTTACCTTGCACACAGCAAAAAAATCTCAACTTAAAAAGGAGCTACTTTGACAGACAAAAGGCAGCAATTGCTAATGAGTTGCCAGAAATCCCCCTTGAAAATTACATTGTAACCAACCGTGATGAGCTGCCCAGACCAGAAAAGCAAACTTTCTGACTTACAAAGTGGGAGGAAAAAAAATCCCTGGAGGGTCGCTGTCAGGGAGTCGGTTGGCTATTTACAAAACCGTACTCAGGTCACGTGGTGATGTCCACCCGGAGGAGACCGGTGGGCTCTCCGTCCTCTGGGGTGGGGACCCTCTCTTTTGGGCAAGGCCCCAGCCACAGTGTTTGTTGGAAGTTTGGGGAGGTCCAGGAAGGGGGCGGGGAGCTCTTGAAACCGCAAACTGTCTAGAGTATCATCGTATCTACCAGATCAGGTGATAGCAATTGTCCCTGCAGAGTATCACATGCTGAATTATATTACTAAGGCACAGACACTCCCACTTGGTAAGTGAGCACTACTTTCTCAAGATAATTAGGTTTGCTCTGGGACACACGGCTGTCCCTGACAAGGACAACGTGCCTGGATCTCTGGAAAACGAGTTCAATACACTAAAGAAGGATGCAGAAAAGTCACCTTTGCATTTGGATTGACCTGATTGTAACACTAAGGCAGTCACTCACTTCTGCAGAAACACAGTATCAAATACACAAGCTTTAAGAAAGTGGATAATAGAAAATATTGATGACTACAAAAATCAACATTATAATAAAGAGTTTTTACCAGTCCCCCGAGGATGAAGAAGACCATGAAGAGACGCCCGAGCGTGGTTTTTGCATAAACATCCCCGTAACCAACAGTGGACATGGTCACCATGAGCAAATAGACACATTCCCAGTAGGTAAGAGCCTGGTTGTTTTGGAAATTTTCCCATGGGTCCCCGGAATTCTCCACCTAAAGCGAGGGGACCGGGAGAGAAAGGGAAAACATTATGTATGTAATTAGCCATCAACACCAAAGCTCCAGCATCCAGGTTGCTTCCGGATGCACGGTACCCTCAGCCCACAGAGTCTGCTGTCCCCATCTGTTGAGGAATGCGCACCACCTCTGAGCAGGGAGCAGAGGAGGTGGACTGGACTCCACCTGCTTCGCTGATGGGGGCAGAGAAAGGAAGGAACTGAGGAATGTATCCCGAGGCCATTTTTCCTCTCATTGTTACAGACATGTGACCAGCAGAACTTTAGGGTATTGCCTTTAGCCACGGTTTACAGCTTTCTCTCCCAGGAAAGAGCCAGAGAGCACCCCGCCCCCACCGCCCTGGCCCTTCTGTGAGTTCCTGCTCAGTCCCAAAGAAATTCTGAATCTTCTCGCAGGGGGCTTCCTCCTTTCATCATTTTGACCAAGGAGATGCCCAGGGGACCTTGCTCCTTCAGATCTCATGCCTGAACCCCAAACAGTATCTCCTGCAGTCTGACTAGGCTCTCCCTGCTTCACAGAATGTCAGCAATGGCTCTGCCCTGCAAAGCTGCAGGGATCTCCCCTGGAGAGCACAAAATGTGAGCTCGTGAGAATTATCCACATTTGCACACCCTTTAGACCAAGGGTCAGTGAGCTTTGTCTGTAAAGGGCCAGATGGTCAGTATTTTCAGCTTTGTGGTCCCTAGGGTTTCTGTTCTCCATAGGGACAACCCAACTCTGCAGTGGAAGCAGGGAATCAGCCAGAGGCAATGCGTGTGAAGAGGATCAGCCCCAGGGTAGCAGGCAGCCCACCTCTGCTTCAGACATTACAGAACACTTTCTGTCCTCCCATTATATATGCACTCAGCCAACAAAGCTGTGAGGTAGGCAGGAGAGCTACTTTCGAGACTGTCAGGAAAGAGGGAGAGACAGGGGCTAGGTCTCCAGTTCTACCCCACATCCCAGCCCTGTAACACGTGGGATGGCCAACACCTGTGACCTGCCAAGGGGGGGGTCCCTGTGGATGGCTGGTCCCTGACCTCCTGGCCCCCAGGTCTCCAGCTCTACCTCTGAAGAAAGTTTCCAAGACCCGGCCTCTTTCACACATCACTGCTTGTCCTCAACGTTCCCTTTCCATGGAGGTTTCCTAGTGAAGCACTTCACACAATAGTAAGGTGAGGTCACTGCCACTGAAAGCAACCAGCTATCCTCCGTATCTGTGATTTGGGCACTTGGCAGAATCAGAGTGATTATCTAAAGGTGATTTCAGCCCCAAATCCCATCAGCATAAAGGCATAGGTGGGGAACCATCAGATCTAGTGGCTGAGAGACAGCCCAGCAGTCTTCCTCCAGGTGATAGTCACAAAAATCCCAAGGGGAGGTAACAGAATGCCTCCTCCCACCCCTTATGCAGAAAGAGGCTCAGCAAGAGAGCGGTGTCTTTACTCAAAGCTTCAGAGTTAGACGAGGCCCCCTCCACTTGTAACAGTTTGTGTCTGTACAAAACACACTTCCCACAATAGCTGTGCTCCCTAAAAGCAAGGGGAAATCTGCCTTGGGGAGGTGAGAGCAGCTTGACTTAATAATACAGGGCTTTCAAAGGAGTTGTTAATTTAAAAGAATTAACATTTTTGAGCTACAAAATAACTTGACAAGTAATCAGAAAAAAGAATCAAAGGGGGCTTTGTGGAAGGGGAAAGTGGAGAGACATTGAGGAATGTAAATTTGTTATTTACGAAGAGATGGGGATCAAACTTCCAACCTGGTCTCCAACCTTTCCAGGCGTTTGCTGAGGAAGCACTGCCATCTTGTGGCTCAAAGGGGTTATTGTAGACAGGGTGAAAAACCATGAAAGCCCCCAGCAGTGAGCTGAAAAACGCAGGTTAATAGTGTGAACATGACTCACCATTTGGAACTAGTTTAGGGTAAAAGGCTTGGAAACCCAGACAATTGTGCAGTTGCTTTGCCCTTCCCTGCATTCTACAGCTGGTCTGAAGTTTGTCTCCCAGGTAATAAAAAGACTCAGAAAGGGGCTTGTTTCAGAAAAAGCCAGAACTGAATTGTCTTTAAGGATAACTTACCAAATGGATGAACCCGGCTGCGGTTAGCCACGTGCTGATAAATATGGACAGCAGATTCACCAGCTTGATGGAATTACTGTGCAAAAGAGACAACAAGCAAAATCTCTAAGTTAGAGAAGACCCTGTTGGGGCCGCCTTCCGGAGTAACAGCGCCTCTTTCAGGGGGAGGCAGCCCCCCTTGAGCCCCCACAAAGCCCCTCCATCTTAAGGGGAGGACTCAGAAGGCGGCGTGAGTAGTTCAGGCCAGAGGCTATAGGAAGATGACATTTGAGTGACAGAAAGTGGCCCCTAAGTGAATCCTTCCGACTGTGTTAAAAACTATCGTTTTCATCTTTATTTTGAAAATCTTTAAATCTACAGAAATATTGGAAGAAGGGTATAATGAGCACTTGTGTGCCCCTCACCTAGATTAACCAATGAACATTTTGCCACATTCGCTTTCTCTACGTTTCTTCTCCTCCCCCTTCCTCCTCCTCTTTTCGTTGAACCATTTAAAAGCACGCTGTCAACACCATGACACAACCCCCTAAATACTTCAGCATTTAACGCCTAAGGACACCCCGTGCGAGACAGTCATACCACAACTGTCGTGCCCAAGAAAATGAACACGGATTCAGCCATGTAACCTAATGTGCACTCCTGAGTCAGATTCCTCCAGCTGCTCTGAAGTTAGGTTTATTGATGTTTTCATGCTTTCACCCTGATTCAGGAAGCACTGGAGCCTCGTGCACTGCATTTGGTTATTACGTTGCTTTAATCCAGGGGTCAGAAGACTTTTCTGTAAAGGGACAGACCATCAATATCTAGGCTTTGCTGGGCCATAAAGTCCCTGTTGCAACTACTCAAGTCCGCTGCTTTAGCAGAAAAGCACCTTAGGAAAGCCATAAAGGAAGGGGTGTGGCTGTGTTCTGGTAAAACTTTATCTACAAAGACGGGCAGGGGGCTGATTGGCCCATGTGCGACTGAGCTGGCCGATTCCTGCTTTATTCTCCTTTAATCTGTAACACCCCCGACCCTGCGCCCTCTTTAATTTGGTTTTAGTGACAATTTAATTTGCTGTGTACCCAGGCCAGCTGTCTTCTAGAATGTCCCACATTCTGGATGTGTCTGATTGCTCCTTCATAACTAGATCCTGTTTAAATACTTCTGTTGAGAATACCTGTCTGGAATGGCGTCACATCAGGAAATTGCAACTCAGTTACACTGTCCCGTCACTTGTTTAAGGTGGGAACGCCTGATCTCGCCACTGAGCGGCGCCCATCTCCCTTTGTAATTAACATGCCATCTGGGGAGTGGGACTCTGAGACCAAATGAATATCCTATTCCCCAAAGACCTTACACCTAAAACTTTCAGCATCCACCAGTGTTCCTTGAGCAGAACAAATGGAACTTACTAAATATTTAGCTCCCTGAGAGTGGGGACCTTATCAGCCTAGACCCTGGGAGCACTGAGCCCCTGGTCAGAGTAAGGCCTCTGAGGATGTGCACTGAGCAAACTGGTCTCTTTCTCTGCACCCTCCCCACTCAACTTCATCCTGGTCACTCCCGCTGGTGGGTGCGGCTCCTTGCCTACTCCTGACAGTAGGTCACCTCCCTGTCCAAAGGCTCCCTGGTGACTGAAATGTTATGTCCAGACTCTCTCCTTCTACCTTCAACACCCTCTGAAGTTCCAGGTTCTCCTACCTGTATTCTTTCTACATAAACTCCTGGAACTTTCATCACAGCCAAACTTACTCAGCCTTTGTTTACGCTCTTACTCACCTGAACGCCCTTCCCATCTGTCCGAACATTACCCTTCCTTCAAAGCCTGGTTCAGTCGCTACCTCCTCCTTAAACTGGTTCTGCCCACCGACAATACAAAGTGACTTATGGCTTTTACCTCCAGCCGCTCACTGGTAAAATGGATCCCACTGTCTGAAGGCACCGTTTTAAATTCCGATTTGACTCTTGTGTTCCTAGCTGTGTGCTGCAGGAAGGAACTCTGTTTTCTCTTTCCGTCTCCCCAGGGGGACCCAGCATCACCCACAGGGCAATTCAGTTCCTCATCCTTGATTGACTGATCTCTAGCCCCTCCCACCTCTTTCCCAAGGGAAACCAAAGATTTAAATTCCAAGAGCTTACGATCACAGTCCTAAGAATAGCTAACATGCACACCGCCATTCTAAGTATTTCAATTGTTTCACGTATCTGAACTCATCTAATCTCGATAACGACTCAATGAGGTGATCCCAAGGTTAGGGAACAGACCTAAGTTCGTACAGGAGTCAGCATGAGTTGGAACTGGAACCGGCAGTTCGGCTCCAGAGTCTGCCCTCTTGGCCGCTACACCACAGGACAGCTGTTACAGATTGGAGTCCATCAGGAGGTCTTCCTTGTGAAGTGAAGCTGTGCCTCTCCCCACACATGAAAAGGGCCAGAGGGTCCTGCCCCCAGGAGGAGAGAGACCACCACCACATCCTGTCCCCAAATGGTTTCTCAAGGGGAAGACACAATCCTGCAAACCCTCCTTGCCTCTGCCTCTTCTGCCCTCTGGGTGAACTAACTTTGGAGACTGAGAGCCAGATGAGGAACAGGTAGCCAGGGGCAAAGGGAGACATCTCAGGGAAGCCCGCATTGCTCATTTCCTCAGAGGATAATTAAGTACCAAGTTGATTCACTTACACACCCCCGGATCTTGGAGACTGAACAGAGCAGTGTCCCACTCCAACCATGGGGAGCCCTCTTGAGATATTAAAACCACAGGAGTCTCTGAGCCTCATGGCGCTTTGGAAAAAACGACCTAATATGGTGATTACTAATCTCTAAGTGATTGCCACAGTGATATTAATAGCACTTAAGAGAGCTCTTGTTGTGTACAGAACATTTAATCATTGTTGCTGAAAGAGTCCATATTAAGCAGTGAAATCTGATTATTTTTATGGCATCTGCATCATTACAGATCCTAAGTATTAGGAATTTGCTTTTCAAATTAAACTCTAGGACCAGGCAATCATCTGGAGGGTCCGTGCAAAAGATGTGAGAGTAACTCTTTCTTTCTCCATAGACTTTCTCCATATTCTGACACCAGGTTGCATCGGGTTCCCTGGAAGAAGGGAAGGGGTGGCAGGGCAGGGCTGCAGGCTCTGCATGGCCAGAGAGGCCACTGGAGATAGTCACAGACTTCATGGCCAAGACCAGGGGTCTGCACCAAACATGAAGTTCCCAATGGTTGGAATGACTGGGACCGTTTAGAGTCTAGCCCCATCATGAGAAGGGAGGGACAGTGACCTTACCATGAGGACCTAACTTCATTTTCATGTTTTCCATGATCCTTTCTAGGTCTCTGACCCATGAGTTCTCACTAGCCATTACAGTAATTCCTATCAGTGGACATAGTGAACCATCACCCACGGGCAATTACGTCAGAACAGGGGCAGAGGGAGTCTGATTCTGTAGATGCTGCAACACTGAATGTCGGTCTGTTTCCAAAATTAGAGCTGTAACCCCTGAGCCTTTGGGGCCACCTCTGCCCTCTGTGTATTTAACAACACATGTTTCAGTTGACAACGAAAATGTCACCCACTTTCCACAAAGAAACACCAATCTGCCCCTGTTCTGCTTGTTCAGTATTTTCCTCTCTTTCTGGATAAGATACAGCCAGGTGCTAATGCCCTTATTTTATTTTATTGTGACCTTGGCTGGGCAGATGTGAAATACTTTCAAAAGCCAACCGGACTATATCCCAGGCGATGAATGGTCTGAACTCTAAGACACGGAGTGAAGCGAAATCCAGTTCTGTCACATCTACCCTTTCAGTAGCTCTCCATCTGTCTCCCTCTTCTCCTAAGGCCAGTCCCTAGGGCCACTTCCCTGGACAGTTGCCCCCCAGCTAGTCTCATGGTTGACGATCTTAAGATGTTTCAAACCCACTCTCTACACAATTGGTGGAACAGCGGATCTTTCTAAAACATACACCTGGCCATGTTTCCCTCCTGCGTAAACCCTTCCACCACTCTCTCTCGCTCTCCAAGTCAAATCTGTGACCTCTGAGAGCCCTCATGATGTGGCCTCTGTCTGCACAACTTCTTGCAGTCTCCATATTGAATACTCTTTTTTAAGCATGTTAGCCTTGGAGACATTTCTGAGGTCATATATGTAGTACAGTGGTTTCAGTCTCCAAAATGTCAAAAAAAAAAAGTGTTGTTTAGGTCAAAGATGCTATGTACATAGCCTGGAATGCTATGTGGGGAGAAAGGCAACATGGTTGAGTATTAGTGATGGTTTTCTCAACCATCGATGGTGTCGGGGAAGTTTACTTTATCCTTCATGCTCCTCTATACTGTTGAAATGTTTACAGTGAGCATACTGCACTTTCATAATATAGGAAACAGTCAGGCAATTGTTTTTCTTAAAAATCACTGGCGATTCATGTTTCCTTCATCAGTATCTCTCACATTAAATGAGCTGTGCAGTGACAGCCTTTAAATGGAGCTGCTCACGTCACTCTGACTGTAGAGTAAGCGTCCTCTCACCTATGAGTCTACCTGCCAGTTTTCAGGGCATCTGAGGAACTGCCCAAAGCTCAGACCACAACATGGGGTCTCCCAGCGGCCCCTTCAACATGCCAGTTACAGGACACGGGGCATTTTAGGCCTTTCTGTTGATTGGCAGTTTGGGGGATGACCTTGATGCTGTCCCACTGCTGTGATCTTCTGCTTTCTCTGTCTTCCTGTTCACTCTGTCATCATTTTGCTGACGTCTTAATTCTTTCTCTCTTCCCCACCCCATCTACGTTCTCTCTCTTCTCTCTCCCACCAAATACTTCTCTGCCCTGTTTCTTCCCACTCTTGGCCAAAAGAGGCAGTCACAGAACAGAACATGAAGCCACAATTTCATATCATTATTGTAAATCACATTTCATGTCTCCCTCCCTCCCTGATGTCCCAGACTGGTGGCGATTGGCCACTCGAGAAAGCTAAAAAAAATCCCCCTAAAGATGATTACGGGGCTCCACCCACCCTCCTGGAAGGTCAATGTGGAAGCAGCCAAGTGCAGAGGCGTCACCGGAAAATCCCTCAAGGCCCGAAGCCCTGCAAA